ATCAACTGAATCTTCACTCAACACTAATAGAGCTTACCGCACTTTTAAAAGAAAGTTCCCCAACCATCCTTTCCCAGCAAAACCAGGAACAGCCCGTGAATACATCAACCACCCCAAGCATACTAACACAAAAGAATTTTTAGCCATCACCTTACCCTCATTCCCACAATACACCTTAAACACCCCCCACGACACTAACGAAACACACAACTTTGTAGATGAATACGTTTTAATGCCCACTCTCTCTTGGACCTCATATTATCATTTTACTAACCCTCTTTGCTTACCTTTATCTAACACTCACATCGATATAGAGCGAAATACGGACATGCTATATCGACTCACTACACCACTAACCGCTAGACAATTTACTTACGTTGGATATAAAAAATCACTAAAAACACACACTGCACCTAGAGCTAACGAATATACACTCGAATACTCTGATCACAACATCATCAGAGCTAACCAAGATCAATTCTTAGACGACGATCGCTTCGCTAATCCACAAATTACCGAGAAATTTTTCATCAAGACACCATATATATTTACACTAAACATCTTCGACCGAAAGTTTGATCACACTATTTCAGAAGCACTAACAGACACACAAGCATACGAAAGTTTTAAAGAACGCTTCCAAATATTTTCACTAACCTTTCATTTCCTTGCACCACACGAAAGAGATTTGCACTGCTCACACGATATTATGTTGCGCACTAAACAAACCCACACATATAGTTATTATCGCTTCATCCAAAATCACTTTGACCTACACACACCCTCTAGACAACCACACCATCGCTTTCAATTCATGAATTCCAAATACACTTCACCATTTTTCCTAAATTTCACATATTGTATTAAAGACACTAACCTTCATGGTATTCTTCGTAATTATGACCCCATAACCCAAATGTACATCTTCTGTCCCATCACCAAGACCTTCAACGCCGAAGAATCCCGACCCTTCCTTATCCCGCACGAGTTTGTACAACCCATAGAAATCCCAATTTTAGAATTCATCCACAATACTAAATTCAATCACAAATTATATAATCTAATCCAAAACACACCTTATGAGTTTGCAGTTGGCACTGAAGAACTAACCACTATTAAGGCACTTCAATTGCTTTGGCCACTGCTTCAGACTAAAAATATCATCCGCATCTTAGCTAAACTACTAACAACTTCAGAACTAATTCACGACATCTTCCCCCACGGTTTTTTCCCCGACGACTAACAGGTAAGTATGAATTAAATGAATATTACTAACTAATTAAATATTAAAAAACTCACCATACTTTATCCATGTTTTCTTTAGATTTTTAGCCTTCATCCGACGATCACCTACAAAAACCACAAAAAACAAATAAAGATCGCAAATTTCATCAAACAGATTTCAACAATTCTATTAATCTCTTACACTTATAAATTTATAAATTTAATACCAATGTAGTAAATTCATTTCTAAAATTTTCCCCACAAGCAGTAAATCTAATTATGATGAAAATTTGTAACTTAAAATTCCCCCATAACTAGCAGTAAATTTCCAAATTCTTTGCAGTAAATTAGTAAAATGCAAATGCAGTACTAACCTTTTGATATTCTCATTTATTCGCACAGAAATTCTATCCACACTCGCACAGCTCGCCCACGAAGAATTGTTTAAAATAATGAATTTCAGTTTCAAGTTTTCACACTCAACAACTCTAACATATAATAACATGTTTCAAACTTTCCTTTAACCCGGTTGGAAAGGAATCATATACTAAACAAAACTAACCAACGCAGCTTACTAAATACCACAAATCATAGAATAACAGCATGACTAAGAAAAGGAAACCAACGGTACCCAAACCGGATTAACCCAGTTTAAAACTGGATAATTTATTCTTTTGAAGACTATTATAAAGTCTAAGAAAGAAATAATAAAACACAAAAAAGTCGAAAGACAAACCCATACCACGAACAATTTGCTTTTTGGAAAAAGGACATAACCAACAAGACATAAGAAAAACCACAACAAACCCAACATAAAACGTTGTCACATAACAGGACCCCTCACAAAAACCGCATGAAATCATACTCCCACTCCTGGCCTAACCCACCAGGAAGGACGTCCTGAGCATGCTCTATAGCCGGCCTAACCCACCGCGCTACATCCACGCTTTGTGACCACACCTCTATTTTTAATAAGAGCTACTCAAGTGTGAGTAACTCTTCAAAATAACCGAACTAAAACAAAAAGCTTTTGTGAAAACAACTAACTAAAATCATAATTAAAAAATATTAAACTAATAAATGTTTTATAAAATGTAAATTACATTATGCAATACATAGATCAGAATACAACACCAAGGACGAACATCTAAAGACAAAACGACCCCACTACACTCGAGAGAGAATGACCAACCACAATCGATATGCCACTCACAATCACAACTCAAAGGATTTAGAGTACGACTTGACTTCGCAGAAAAGGACTTCATTGAACTAGACCAATGACCACCTCGATGTTCAAGTATACGTACAGATCCGAGTAACCAGGCATCCCCTCCACGCACAATCTCCACGCAGAACAGAAAAACCTGACATAGCAAACCATTCTGAAATCAGATTTGAGTTTGTTGCAAAGACTTAGTCGTTGTCACTAGAAGACACAACGTCTTACGTCTCTAAACTCCAGCTTCCTGGAACTTCTTTAACAAAGAAGAAACAGAAGAAATAAGATGTTCGCCAAACACCAACGTCCATCATCCATCCTTCGAATTGCAGAAGAACTATTCTAAAAAACTCTGTAAAACCCGGATGGGTGGAACCTGATCTAGACTACATTTTATGATTGGATAATTTAGATATTTTACCAATGTAAAGTATTTAATATTAACCAATCATGATCCATCTAACTAACAACCCACTTATTTGTAAGTGCTGAAGTTACTTGTAATTTCAGCACCAGAGAGATTTGAATTTAACTTAGAAATTAGTTGGACTCTCCCGAGCACTTCAGCAGCCGCAATAAACCAGTATACCCTAGATCTATTGAGCCTAGCAGAGACTAGTTAAACAACCTGAGACTAGATAGTATAAGAGTAAGATTAGGATCGGTATTAGACTAAGAAGTTGCACGAATCTATCCGGCCGAAAATAAGATAGCGTGACGAGCAGACGGTGTACCCTATCCGAAATTACTCTATGAGTTAACCAACTCGATCTAACTCAGATCTTCGAAACTTTATTAACGTAAACTTTATTAGCGCTAACGATATTTTTTTAACGTAAATCGGTTCGCATAATCTTCAAAAAATGTAGAGCGCTGAAATTGTGAAAAATAAGCAGATCCATATTTTTCCTAGAGCACAACAATTCGCCAGACATTTAGTTTTTTTAAAGCAAACTATTCAAATTTTTAAGTTGTTTCAAAGCGTTGATTGGTTAGCAAAAAGTAAAAAAATTTCCACCAGGCGATTGAGCATTAACAATTCGAAGATAAATAGTCTACATCTGTTCCGTAAGAAAAAAGCTTTTGTTTCAGCCCATGTTTTAGCCCTTGCCCTTGGTTACATGATCCGCGGCCAACCATAAGATCACAGGGTTGTGAATTTGGTGATATCAACTTATTAGGTACAAAATCACTGAATCCGCCTTTGGAAAGTGTACGCAACTAATCTTCGTAATGTTGTTTTTTAGCAAAAACCAATTAGCAAAAATTTAAGTTTTTAAAGCGAGTGTTTGAGCAATTGAGTTTGAAATATTTCTGCCGGCTTTCATAAACTGAATCGAATCGCAAAGAGTTTTTTTAAAAAAACTATTGAGCGAAAAAGATTTGTACTGTTTCAAAGTATTATCACCTAAATTGATTCGCAAAAATTTGAAGTTTCTTAGAGCCGGTTAATGGGCAAAAAAACTTTCAAGTTAATTTCGTAGCGTGAACCGGTTAGCATAAAGTTAAAAATTTTCAAGTAAACTATTGAGCAATAACATTTCATTTATATTCAGGTTGTTTTAATAGATTGATTTTTTTTTTAAAAATTGTTTCAATCAACATATCGTGCAACTTAAAAAAATGTTTAAGTTTGTTTCGCATCCTCTGAGTCAATTTGGTAAAAGTTTGAATTTTTCAGCTAAGTTTTAAGCACTAAAAAAAATTAAACAGTTAAAACTGATATTTTGAAGTATTTCAAGCTAGTTCATAGAGATAATTGGTAAGCAAAAAATTTAAATTTTCTAAGCAAGCTGTTCAAAAAGCCAAGTTTTGACCAACTCACAGAAAGAATCGTTTCAAAAAAAACTCATGCCATCAAACGATAAAACTTTTAAAACAGCCTGCAGTTTTTGATAGTTTCATTTCATAGAGCACATTGGTTTGCAAAAAAATTGGGTTTCTTACCAAGAAACTTGCTGTCTCTACATAGTTCATTCAGACTGAAACGAACCTGTGCTCGAAAAAATTGGGACAAAAAAAGTATATTTACTGTCTAGACTGGAAGTTGAATTGATTTCATGTGGTCCAAGCAATGTCTTTTTCAAAAATAATTCTAGAATATTCTTGACCTTCCTTCAACCGTTGAACCTAAATTTTTTCTTAAATAGTTGCGCTCCACGAAAATAAACTTTGCCCCTAGCCCCCTAACACTTCGAAAAAGCAAATTTTTCAAAAACAGTTTTTCCTGAAAAAGAACGTGAAATTAAATTTTTTAGACATTTTTAATGTCGGTTGAATCTCGATGGGAGTCCAAAAGGCTGTAATATGATATATCCTTAAGCCGCATCTAATCTGAGGTTTGTTGGCGGTAGCTGGTTTTACGTGGAATTACAAAAAAAAATTGAAACACCCAAATACAAAAAATTTCTAGTCACTTTGCGGTTGGAAAACTAAAAAAACCTGCTCACATGCCTTTCTTGTTAGAAAACAGGTAATATTTAAAACACCATTTTGATATGATTTGTGTCATTTTGAAGAAAATTAGTCGAAAAACAAGCCGGTGCAGACTTACATGGAAGAGGAAGTATGTTGCAGAAGTAGATGAGGTTCGTAGTCTCGGGAAGCAACTTCTGCTCGGAAACTTCTTCCAGGTGACTCACTAGAATGTTGATCACACTGCCCATGGCCGCCGTCATTCCAAATTGAACTAGAATGCGACCGGTGGTGCAGAGTCCAGGGACACTTTTGGAAAAGAGGGAACTTCTATATCAACGGCGAGAGCATTTAATTCAAGTTTCAAACACGTTTCATATTACAAAACCTTTTTCGATCTCTGTAGTTTTCAACTTCACAAGTTTAGTGGAAAATAAATAACGGGGTGAAATTTTTTAGGCAAAGTTTGACTAGATTATCTTAAAAGTACAATAAGAAAGCGTAAATAATGAAGTTGAATAAAATCTATCGGTTACATCAGCTTGAAAAAAGTGTCTCCTTTCTCCTTCAGGAGCAAAAATTTCTAATTCTTTTGAGTTTTTAGAACTTATTTAAAAAATGAAAGGTTTCTGTCGGAACTAGTGTTGTCTAATCAAGACACCGGTGAGGGTCAGGACTCTACATTCGATAGCATTTCGTCAGCTAAATTTCACTATCAGCAATGCGAAACCGAGATACGAGATGCTTATGCGATTCATTTTACACATGCCATTAGCTTGTTTTGACTAAAAAAACTGCAATTTTTCAGCTAATCACTGAATATTATAATATGCATCTGGGGCGGATCTAGGATTTTCTTGAGAGGGAGACGGATTTTCAAAAAAAAATCGAAAATTTTGTCGACCTTTTTTTAGGTCGACCAAATAAACTTTCCGAGCTCTCCCAAAGCACTAAAAAGACCGTTATGGCCAAATATTTGGCGCCGCGGGCAAAAATTAAAAGAAAACAGGCCAAAAAAAAAGACATTTTTAGGCACTTTTTTGGAAATTTTGACCAAAAAATTGCGTTTTTTTGGGCGCGCTCCCCCCTCGAAAAAGTGTATATTGGCACCGAAGGCGAGTTCAAGAAAATTTTAGGGTCCACCAAAAATGGATATCTCAAAATATTAGAAAGGGTGGATGGACCCTTTGGGTCGGCAGGGTGTCGAGTCCTTGCGGAGGGGAGCGTCCGCCCCCTCATCCCCCTAATTCCGCCCCTGATATGCATACATATAAATACACACATACATTCATTCAATTTTTGTCCAGCTCCAATTTTTGTTCCCCCTACCTAAAATTCTTTAAAAAAAAACGGCTGAAACCGCACTAACAAAAATGGATTAGGATCGATTTTAGTATGAAAAAAGTACGTTGATTAAATTTAGATCGATTTTAGTATAAAAAAAGTACGAAGATTAAGTAAAAAAGATGAAAATTGATTTGGATCGATTTAAAATCTATTTAAATTGATCTTAAATCCCAGCTAAAAAAATTGATCCAAATCGATTTTAAATCAATTTAAATGCATTTTTCCTGTCTGAATTTGTTTTCATTTTTAAGGGGATTAAAATGGATTTAAATCGATTTAAATCGATTTTTTTCATTCGAGTTTTATCAGTTTCAATTTTTTATTGCATTTACTTTATGACAATCATTTTTCATTTTTCATCCATAGCGTATTGTAGCATAAAAAAGACCAAATAAACAGACCAAAATATTGATAAAATTCTATGATTTTCTTGCATATTTTGAGTTCAAAAACGGATCTATATTTACCCTTTTCTTGATTCGTTTCATAAGTTGTTGCTTAAAATTTGATTTACTTTCATGTTTTTCTATGATTTTATTGCATATTATTGAGATCACAATTTAATTTTACCTGACCCTTTTCTGGTTTGTTACACAAGATTTTGTCCATAATCTGATTTACAATGGTTTTCTATGATTTTATTGCAAATTTTTGAGTTTAAAACCTGATTTATGTGGATCATTTTAATGAATTCTATAACATCTGGCAAGAGTGTTTATGTTTAAAAAATTGAGAATAAAAAATTCCAACAACTTTTTTAAAGGGTATGTTTTTTTTTCGCCGTGTTAGCGAAAAAAAATTTTAGTGTGTCGGAAAATCCATCGAAATTGATTTAAATCGATTTTCAGGCACTTAAATCGATTTAAATCGATTTAAACTGGATTTAAGTGAGATTCTGATGGATTTAAGTGAGATTCGAATGGATTTTAGTGAGTCGAAAAATCAATCAAAATCGATTTAAATCGATTTTTTAGACACTTAAATCGATTTAAACTTTTCAATAAGATCGATTTAAATCGATTTAAAATCCATTTAAGTTCGTAGAATGTACATGGTTAATCGATTTGGATCGATTTAAAATCGATTTAAAATCAATTTAAATCGACTGGAAAACATTTCTGTCAGTGCGGGAAAGCAACAAAATTGGGTAACAAAAATCTAGGTTCCGCCGAAAAAAAAATAACTTTTACAACAGACAACCAACTTTACTTTACAAAGTGCACCTGAATATATGTGCGTTATAACTCGCATTTCAATAAAAGGGAAAAATTGATTATACTCGAGTTTCATAGTTTTTATCTATAAAAGTGAAAAGTAATAGATTAAATTCTTTTGGAATGGTTTTTGTTGCTTTATTAAGTACAGGCATTCTAATCCATTTTTAGTTGATTGTGAACACTAAATCTCGCAAATTAAATTACAAGGCTTGCCATGTTAACCCAATTAGTATCAAAACAGTCAACCATGTTTCAGTTTTTTTCCGCAAGCAAGCAATCCCGGATTGGCCCTGCCAAAAATAATCAGTCCTACTTCAGTATACAAACAGTTTTACATTGTTTGCAGATATTATTTAAAATCAATTTGGTCGACCTAAAAAAAGGTTCATAAATTTTCGAATTTTTTTTTGAAAATCGCCCCCCCCCCCCTTGAGAAAATCTTAGATCTGCCCCAGCTCGTAAGTATAGAAAATTCGAACGGTTGTTGTAACTTCTCATGCAATTAACGCAGCAAACATCGTATCTCTTTACTCAACTACAAATTGTTTATTTTTTAAATGCCCGTCACTTCCCTATCCCCGCCCAGCAGGTATCCAATCAGCACCAGGTGTATGGCTACAAGGAATGTCATTCTGAGGAGGACGAACTCCTTGTCCAGATCCTCGAACAGGTAGAGGAGGATGAAAAAGGCGAGGAGGGCGAGGAGAGTGGCGAAGATGAAACCCAGCTGGGAGATCCAGTGGAAAGACTCCTGAAACATAATAAGGATCAAGTTAATACCCCCCTTCCCAGCCCTTCCCAGATAGACCAAGTTAAGAGCCTCCACCCCAGTGTAAATTGCTAATTTAAATTAGCTAACTTTGAATTAAATTTGCTAAGAACTGCATGTAAAATGCTCTATTTTGCTCTATTTTGATTGATTGGCTGAAAGTTCGAATTCAGAACCAAGCTAACATCCAACCCCCCTAAGCGGCTTTGAGGGGGGATGTTAACTTGGTCCATTTTAAGGCCGGGGCGAGAGCGTAGCGATAAGCATGCGTGGACCAAGTTAACATCCCCCTCAAAGCCGTTGGGGGGGGGGGGATTTTAACTTGATCGCATGTGTTTGCCTATTACAACGCAACAATTGCTTAAATTAGGCGTTCTTTCAGACGAAAAACAGGTTATCCTCTACTTCTAAAAAACAAATAAAAAAACTTTTAGATCGCTGTGAAGAGAATGGGGACCAATCGTTTACCAGACCAATCTTTGTAGTAGTTAGAACATAGTTAAAAGATGCCCGAGGGGGAAAGAGCCCGGCCTGAGGGTACGAAGTGCCCGAGTGCGGCTCTTTTGCCCGAGGCCATCTTCAACTATGTTCTAAGTGTTGAAAAGTATGTTTTTGAACTTTCTGAGGGGAAGATGCCAGAAAATTATGAAAGAGCCCAAAAAATTGTGAAAGAGCCGGGAAAAGTGCGCGAAACTATGCAAATGATTTCTTTTTTTATTCATGCTTTCTAATATTTCATTTCTCATTCATGCCTTGTCGTGAAAGAACTTTTGTGAAACAGCAAAAATCTACTCTTCTAGCATAAAAAAAGATAAAAGAGTCTTTCAGCAGACCAACGTAATAAAGTGATGGATGATTGATTGACAGACTCAAAAAGACGCTCAGTCTGGGGCCAAGCTTCCCCAGTTAAATCATTTATCTCACGATTACTCAACAAAACTATCAACTTCAAAAACACAACAGTGGAAATTAGCGGCAAAACAAAGATTTAGGCGCAAAATAACACTCGTGTTGAATTGAAGCGCAGCGGAGCAAGCGGTCGCTAATCGCCAATGCCGCGTTTGAAAATAGCTATCACACTTTATAATGGCTCTGAGTCTGCTAAAAAACTATCTGCTTAAAAAAACCGGTCAGCTAAAATCTCTAGCCCCGAAGAGAATATAAAATTTTGTTTTCACATTACTAAATATTCAGCGAAAATCACGCAATTCAAACTTGTAAAGTTGAACTCGATTTTTGAGGCTGCAAACGAATCTTTTACATAGTCTCATGCTATTAGACTGGAGTTCGGTCTCTATTTAGAAAACTGCGTATTCAGACACTGTATTAACCAATTAGAATCGAGACAAGGGAGAAATGGATTTCATATCTTCCTTGTCTCGTTTCTGATTGGTTAATACAGTGTCTGCATACGCGGTTGCCTAAATACTGCTACGTAACCCTTATCTCTAATACGGCTCACAAATTCTCGTTTTTTTAATGTTCAAATATGCATCTTAAGGCTCAACTCTGATTGGTTGAAATCAATTAAAGAGAAAGAGAATATGAATATTCCTTATAAACAGAAACATACTTAACAATTCGGTAATTTCTGTGTCATACTTCTCTGTTTCGACCGTATAACAGAGAAGACCACATTGCCTTTTAAACTGAAGTGTAACCACAGAAGAGCCGCATTCCCTAATAACCGAAAAAAAATATATATATAATTCTTGTTAACGGAATTAGCAAAAAGATACGGATCTACTTAAAAAAATTACGCTCCTTTCAAGAAAAACCCGGGGGGGGGGCTGGGGTTGGGGGGGGGGGGGTGGGGGAGATTGTTAAGTAGATTAAAATGGTCAATTTTACGACCAATCTGAATGCAGCAAAATTAGAATTTTCAATACAAAGCACTAGCGCTAATTGACCGTTGTGGTTCCGAATTTCAAAAAAAAACTGAATTTTTATGCTCGGTGTGGTTTTTTTAATCAGCCAATTTCTGCCGATCGAAGTAATAGTTTTCAACACAAAATTTGTGTACCCCATTGAAGATATCGACTTTGGACTAAATTATGTGCGCTTTGAAAAATTTATTCATAATGCTGAGAGCGTAACGCGAATTATTTATGCGTGGCAAATTATCCCGCACAGCAGAATCGTTCCAAATTGAATTGAGGCTAGCTAATTGATCGTATTAATTTCGTACAACTCAAAATTTCACACTTTGATATTGTTCAAAATGTATAAGTTTTCAATATTTTCTTTTCCCAAAAACTATTCGATACGAATTAAGGGACAGTCGGAACATTCAAGGCTTTGCCCTGATGTACGAGCAGTCTTGTTATTTATAGGGGGGGGGGACAATGTAGATCGAAACATCTTGCAAAATCATACTTTCATAATGAATAGAAAAATTTGTAACAAAATTTGAACAACTTTTATTTGAACAATTAATATCTTTATTTGCAAAAAATATAAACTAATAAAAAATCAAATGAACTCACAGCAAATTCTTTAGGTAATTGGTGTATTTGTTGGTGTATTTGTGTATAATTGGAATATTAATTGGTGTATTTTCAAGAAATTAGATAGCAATAAAAGTGCAACTACACTTGGGCGAATTATTGTTTTAAGCTAACAAAAAATGTCGGTCAACCGGGAACAAAATTGTATTGTGGCTATCTAGTAATTTACCAAATAACAGCACTTTTAAGTAACAGCGTTGAGAGGGAAGCGGGGAGCACGCACCAAGAGAGTGTAGGAAACCAGGATTTTTTGTCAATTTTGAGTCAAATTTGTCTCAAATGATTAAAACAACAATTGACCAAAACTGATTGACCAAAATTGTCGGCATAGTATTTTGGGATAGGTCAGTCAACTTAGGTCAACACAATACAGAAAGGTCGACCAAAAATGTTGTTCATCCGATAACTCAAAGTTTTTCTGGCTATCAGAGAACAAATTTCATTTTGGTTAGCTGAAAACTTACGCTTCTCTCGGTTAACCAGGTATTTTGCTCAGTGACACGCTGCCAAAGTATTGTTCGAGAAAATGTTTCTTATTTGATAGCTTTTTATGCTGTTGATTAACTAAATTATGTTTCCTTGTCCTTTCTTGGCAAAACGTTCTGCGACAGACTAAGCTTGAAACAAATTTGGCAATTAACCCGGTTTCATACACTTTTACTCCTCGCTTCCCTCTCATTACATATATCAAACAGTTGGGGAAACATCAAAGGTTTCCCCAACTGCCAAAAATATATTTTACTGGATAGTCAAAAAAGGTTTCCTCAACTGCCAAAAATATATTTTACTGGATAGTCAAAAAAGGTTTCCGCAACTGCCAAAAATATATATTACTGGATAGTCAAAAAAGGTTTCCGCAACTGCCAAAAATATATATTACTGGATAGTCAAAAAAGGTTTCCGCAACTGCCAAAAATATATTTTACTGGATAGTCAAAAAAGGTTTCCCCAACTGCCAAAAATATATTTTACTGGATAGTCAAAAAAGGTTTCCCCAACTGCCAAAAATATATTTTACTGGATAGTCAAAAAAGGTTTCCGCAACTGCCAAAAATATATATTACTGGATAGTCAAAAAAGGTTTCCCCAACTGCCAAAAATATATTTTACTGGATAGTCAAAAAAGGTTTCCCCAACTGCCAAAAATATATTTTACTGGATAGTCAAAAAAGGTTTCCGCAACTGCCAAAAATATATATTACTGGATAGTCAAAAAAGGTTTCCCCAACTGCCAAAAATATATTTTACTGGATAGTCAAAAAAGGTTTCCCCAACTGCCAAAAATATATTTTACTGGATAGTCAAAAAAGGTTTCCGCAACTGCCAAAAATATATATTACTGGATAGTCAAAAAAGGTTTCCCCAACTGCCAAAAATATATTTTACTGGATAGTCAAAAAAGGTTTCCCCAACTGCCAAAAATATATTTTACTGGATAGTCAAAAAAGGTTTCCGCAACTGCCAAAAATATATATTACTGGATAGTCAAAAAAGGTTTCCCCAACTGCCAAAAATATATATTACTGGATAGTCAAAAAAGGTTTCCCCAACTGCCAAAAATATATTTTACTGGATAGTCAAAAAAGGTTTCCCCAACTGCCAAAAATATATTTTACTGGATAGTCAAAAAAGGTTTCCGCAACTGCCAAAAATATATATTACTGGATAGTCAAAAAAGGTTTCCGCAACTGCCAAAAAAATATTTTACTGGATAGTCAAAAAAGGTTTCCGCAACTGCCAAAAATATATTTTACTGGATAGTCAAAAAAGGTTTCCGCAACTGCCAAAAATATATTTTACTGGATAGTCAAAAAAGGTTTCCGCAACTGCCAAAAATATATTTTACTGGATAGTCAAAAAAGGTTTCCGCAACTGCCAAAAATATATTTTACTGGATAGTCAAAAAAGGTTTCCCCAACTGCCAAAAAATATATATTACTGGATAGGCGAAAAAAGTGATTCTACTAAAATCTAATTGTATAGAGCAAACAAACTAGCCAGAAAAAGTTACTTTTAGCCTCTTGGATTTTTACTAGCTCACAGTTTCAGAAAAATCGACGATTTTGTTTGTTTGAATAAAAGTAGTTCAAATTTTGTATCGAATTTGCGTATTTAGCAGCTTTTTTTTGTTTCTATTTCCCCGAACAATTTTTTAAACGTCTTTCCGGGAATGCAGTTCTGTGGCTAAGCTCCAATATATTCCGCACCCTTGTTTCAGATGCATATTTGCGGAATTAAATTTCAGAATAAATGCGTTGCTACGGGGATAAGTCAATTAGGTGGGACTTCTTACGGTTGATCTATTTTTTTAAGAATATCAATAGAAAAATTATGGTTGAATCTGGGAAGTGCACAGGGATTTTTTAATGAATGGACGTTCTTTTTCAAAAAATGGGGTGAAATTTTTTTAGATAAGACCTTTCGAAGTTTTTGTGCTATGCTCGAACTCCTAGAATTATCATATTACATATTTAG